AGTGGGCAGGTCAGGAGGCCTTGGGAGGCAGGATGGCAGAAGCTGGGGGAGAGGCGGGTGTATCAGCCAGAGGCCTGGCTCAGTGCAGACCTGGGCCTGAGCTGACCTCTGGACGCCCCCCGCACCCCACCCCAGGGAGATGTGTGGATCTGCATGGAGCTCATGGACACATCCCTGGACAAGTTCTACCGGAAGGTGCTTGAGAAAGGCATGACGATCCCCGAGGACATTCTGGGGGAGATTGCTGTGTCTGTAAGTGGCCTCAGGGCTGGGGCAGGGGGGTGGGGGGACGGGCTGGGAGTTCCAGGTCCATAGCCAGAGGCCCTGGCCCGGCCCAGCAGGCACAAAGCCCAGTCTGATGGTGGTGTCTTGGGCTGAGCTGGACCCCAGTGTGGCCCTGAACCTGGGCACCTGCCCCCAGGGGCCCAGCGCCTCCACTCTGGGCCAGAGCCTTTGCTGAGGAAACCCTGCAGCCTTGGGCTCCCAGAGACACACAGCTCTGGCAACTCCAGGGCCTCTAGGCCCTGTGTGCAGCGCCCAGGCTCCTGGGGCATTTTAAACGGACTTAGTGTTCACAGCTTCCTCAGCTGACAGGCCCGAGGCGGCTCAGGGAGGTGCGCTAAGCAGGGAGAAGGCGAGAAAGGGTCGCATCCAGAGGTTTGCCCTTCCCCCCATTTATCTATTTATTTACTTGTTCATTTGTATTGAGTTTATTAGGGTGACGTTAGTTAATAAAGTTATATAGGTTTCAGGTATACAGTTCTGCAGCCCATCTTCTGTATGTTGTGTTGTGTGTTCACCACCCCAAGTGAAGTCTCCTTCACCACTTATTCCCCCTTCACCCTCCTCTACCCAGCATCTGGGACTGATAATACCCAGCCGGGCGCTGGGGGGAAGAATTCTGCGGGGGAGGGAGGAGCCGGGAGGCTGCCCAGGCTGGGTTTCACCCAAGAGCCTGGCAGGGAGTGGCCATGGCCCCTTGGGGGTCATGGGCCCAGATTTCTGCAGTGATTTCCAGTACATCATTTCCTGGTGAACGTGTGGGCCCAAGACCCTGCCCATTTGGCTGGTGGGAGAAAAGCAGGAGGCCAGGTGTCTAGGGCAAAGGTTGGATGTGGGCAGGAGCCTAGGTTGATGGGGGCTGGGTGTGTGAGTAAGGGAGACGGGTGGGCACGGGTGGGTGGGGTTACTGCGCTGTTCTGGCATCACTCTGTTCTCTGTCCTGCGCACAGGTAGTGAGGGCCCTGGAGCACCTGCACAGCAAGCTGTCCGTCATTCACAGAGGTCAGTGCCCGCCACGGCCGCCAGGGAGGCCCCAGGCCACCCCCATGCACGGTCTCAGCCCGTCCTGCGAGGTGGGCGTCCTCTCCCTTTCCAAGAGGAGCCTGCTGAGCTCAGGGAGGGATATGCAGGGCTGTGCGTGCTGGATTAATGGCTGAGGCTCTTCCTGGCTAGGCTGCTGCACATCTCCAGCCATTTTCCTCTCTCTCCACCCAGAGCCAGTCCCAGCGGCTTGGGTGATCCACCTCGCCCCACCCCCCAGGTTTGCTGAGCTCCGAGCCAGGACTAGGCGGGCTGCCCGGCTGCCAGCAGCTGACTGGCTTTGTCTGGACCTATTGTTTGCATATTGCTCTGTAGCTACTCTTCCGTGAGTCTGGCAGTGGTTCTCAACCTGTGGGTCGTGACCCCTGAAAATACATCCTACAGATCAGATATTTACATTACGACTCATAACAGTAGCAACATTACAGTTATGAAGTAGCAACGAAAATAACTTTATGTTTGGGGGTCACCACAGCATGAGGAACTGTATTAAAAGGTCGCCGCATCAGGAAGGTTGAGAACCACTGGTTTAGAGTTTACAGCATGTAACCCCCACCCTGGGAAGATACAGGATGCTTCCCCCTCCCCTCCATCCTGGAAAGTTCCCTTGGCCCTTTCTGGCTGGTCCCCTGCACCCCACATCCCCCAATGCTCCTCGTCTGACCCCAACCCCCAACATTGATTGGTTTGTCTTGTTCTTGAACTTCATGTCCATTGCCTCCACGCCGTGCCTCTGTCCAGCCTCCTTCCCTTGGCCGCATGTTTCTGAGCTCCCCAGGCTGTGCAGGCTGAAGTTCCTTCCTGCTCATTATTCTTGGTGGTTCTCTTACCAGGATGTGCTGCTTCTTACAGAGTTAACTAGACTAAGCCCTTTGGCCCCTCTGTGGCCTTCCCCACCGCAGCTCAGCCCTGCTGACAGGTCAGCATGGAACCTGCCAGACCTTTCTCTGGGCGTTTCTATTCCACCCAGGTCCTGGAGGCAGCTCATGGGGAGCAGGGGGTGCGTTTGCTGAGATTGCCCGCTGTGCAGCCTGCTCCGGACTGGGGGGGCTCCGTGTTTGCCTGCAGACTCGCCCCTGTTGTGTTAGCTGCTGTCCTGAGCCTCCGTGAACCTGCTGGCTCTTGGGCGTGGACACTCGGGTGGTTTCTGGGCCTCACCCCAGTGGTGACTCCTGCACCGCAGCCTGAGAAGACATCAGAGCTAGAGGCTGAGCTGGGAAGGGTGCGGACGCATAGCCAGGAGGAGCCTCCCGTCCACAGGCTGAGGACGGCACTGGACGCTGTTGGGGAAGGGAGCGAAGTCCTGGCTTCCTTTCACTCGGGGCCAGTGGCTGGAGTGCATCCTCACTGGTCGTCCCCAGCTATGGCCTGGGGCTCGGGCAGAGCCTCCTGGAGCCTTGGTCCCTCACCTGCTCCCTGGCCCTGCAGTGTCTGCCCAAGTAGCTGGGGTGTGGGGGGCGCCTGGGCTGAGAAGCTCTTCTGTTCCTGCAGATGTAAAGCCTTCGAACGTCCTCATCAACAAGGAGGGCCACGTGAAGATGTGTGACTTTGGGATCAGCGGCTACTTGGTGGATTCTGTGGCCAAGACGATGGACGCTGGCTGCAAGCCCTACATGGCTGTGAGTAGCCCTGACCCCCACTCCGGGACCACATGGAGGGTCCTCTGCCGCTCAGAGGCGGCGCCGCCACCCAGCCTGCCCAGGGCCTGTCCCTCTGGTTAGCAGTCCTGCCCTGGAGCACCCATTTGGAGGACAGATTTTATGGACCCCCACACGGAGGTAGCTCAGGGGGTCTGTGCAGGCCCCCCCCGCCATTGTCCTGAAGGTGCTCTTCTCAGGCCCCATCGGGGCACCTTTGAGGCAAGGGTTAGGCTTCCACCATATGACCCTGACCCTCCCTGGCCTCAATTTCCTCATCTGTCCCCGGGAGGTGGGGTGGGATGAGCACTGATACCTCAGTTTGGGGCCAGGGGCTCAGGCACCCCTGTGCGGGCCCCTCCCCATGGAGGGGTGTTGATGCCTCCCTGGTCCTTCTCACAGCCCGAGAGGATCAACCCGGAGCTGAACCAGAAGGGCTACAACGTGAAGTCCGACGTCTGGAGCCTCGGCATCACCATGGTACCCGGGCCGGCGG